ATATATATATATATATATATATATATATATATATATATCGGCCATTTGAACTGATGCTTCGTTGCCATACAACCATGATGACCTTTGAAATAAAGAATAAGAAGAGGGAGAGAAGGGGGACTTACCTGAAATCCTTAATGCCCTAAGCAAACATTCAGGGTCAAGGCGCCTACCCCTTGTGTACACAACAGACCGTCATAAACAGCTGGCTATTGTGCAAAGATAAGGCGGCATCGGCGAGGCAACTTCCTTGTGGCTTTCAATGCCCCGAGTCATAATCAGCCATTACCAGGAAGAGAACGCTGCACCAAACACACTCTAAACAAGCAATCCGATTAAGAGACGTCAGTAGACGCACCACTGGTGTCGGTTGCGAACCAAGTCCTGTTAAGTCTCTAGCCAAGCACAAGGCGAGTCACATGGACTCCATCCCGGAAGGCGAGAAGGACCAAGGTTGTCAGTGACTTCACTTCACGCTGCTAAGTCAAATTTCGTCCACCTCGAGCCTTGCGACACTCTACACCTAGCAGACTAAACAAGGCCCTCTTAGGTAGGCGGTGACCAGGCACACGTAGCACACGCCCAAGCCAACGGAACTTATTCAGTGTTAGCTTTTGTTCTAAGGAGTTAGCATGATTATTATTACCTAGTACTCGCCCATGCACATCATCATTGCGGACACGCTGGTGCCATCCGACCCCAGCAATGCTTCGCAGACAACGATGATCAAAGACTTGAAGGCGCCTCAGATTTTCAGACCGAAGGGGCCAAGTCTCACTACCATAGAGCAGAACGGCCCTCACTGTGGCCTTATATACACGGCCTTTCAGACGGAGAGAATGTCCCTTCTGTCGTCAAAGATTCCGTAGGTACAAGAAGGCAGCTCCAGCCTTTGCAATGCGTGAGCTGACGTCAGTTTCTATGCGCCCATCGTTGCTGATGCAGCTGCCAAAATAAGTGAATTGGTCAACCACCTCGAGTTCCTCGTTAGCAAGCGTCAAGGGGTCATAAAGTGGTTGGTGGTCCTGCAGCAACAATTTGCACTTTGAAGGTGCGAAGTGCATACCAAATAATGGGACCACTCTGGACAGGCTATTCAGGGTTGATTGTGCCGCCGCAACATCGTCGAAAAGAAAGACGATATCGTCCGCATAATCAAGATCAACTAATCTTTCACCAGGCGGCACTTCAACGCCTACATCGTGAGATTCCACAAGGGAACACTCCATGATAGAATCCACGACGAAATTGAACAAAAATGGGGAAATCGGACAACTATGACGCACGCCACTTGTGGTCGGAAAGATATCCGATAGGTCACCGTAGACCCTGACGCGGCTTGTAGTATTCGAGTATAGAGCACGTAGAATGTTCACATATTCCGTGGGAACACCTTTCCGAGCAAGCATTTCGAATAGAATACATCGATCGACTGAATCGAACGCACTCTTGAAATCGAGGAACACAGCTACTGTTGGTCTGCGGTATGAGCGGTGCTGCTCTAGCACGTGCCGCAAAGTGAATATATGGTCTATACAGCCACGTTCTGGGCGAAAACCGGCCTGCTCTTCCCTAATCCGAGATTCCCGTTCCGCAGTGAGGCGACGAACGATAATCGAGGCCAGTAATTTTGTCACAACTGGTGTTAGACTAATACCCCTGTGGTTAGAACAATCTGTGCGACTGCACTTCTTGTATATTGCCACTATAATCGATTCGTTACAGTTAGCCAGGACACTCACTTCCTTCCAGATACGTTCGAGTAGGGAAGTCAATGCTTTATAAAAGACCTAACCTCCATCCTTAAATAGTGAAGGTGGGAGGAAATCTGGGCCAGTTGCACGAAAACGATTGAGGACTGTGATCGCATTTCGGATCTCGGCCTCCGACGGAGGCACTAAACTAACCGTACATGGCTCGTCCTGTATCACCTGAGTAGGAAGAGGTCCGGGAGCAGGGGTCCGCTGAATTGATCTTGAAAGTGTTCCGCCCAACGCGACATACGGCGCTCCTTATTTGTATCAGTGCACCCGCGCTGTCCCTGATTGTCTCACTGACGCCTGGTTTCCTCGGACCAGTGGTGCGGATCAGCTGGAAGAGCTTGTGGTAATTGCCTACTGCTCCTGCTGCATCTTTTTCTTAAGCCCTAATGGTCCACCAGGCTTCCTTGTCAGCACGTAAGCTCCGCTTTAGTTCGCGCCCGTCTGATCACATTGTGTGTAGAGCCAGCCGGGAGGTTTCTTCTGGACTCCAACAGGTTCATCGACTTTTTGGATATCCAGTGACTGGTGCGGTGATGACTGATAGTGCCACCAGCAGATGCTCCTGCGTCGTGCATGGCGGCCAAGATCCTATTCTACTGAAGCTCAGTGTCATTAGGACAAGACTGCGGAAGTTCGGTATGCAGTGCGTCTTGATAGGCTTGCCTGACCGAGGACTGAGACAATTTCTCAGTTGTCAATTGGAGGAGACGCTTGGTGCGCCTCTAGGTAAAGTTCATGGAGAAACGACAGCGTACCAGCGTATCAGAGTCGACGCAGGTAGTCCAGTACGAGCGGCAATCCAGGATGGAACCACGCCACCTGTAACTTATGGCTGTGATCAATTTGGGTCCATCGTCGGCCAGCTACAGGCACTTCGGCGCCCACTGTGTCTACAAGCAGTGCTACTAAGAAACAACTGGTGCTCCGCACACAGTTGAAGCAAACGCTCGTTGTTTCAATCCGTTCGGAGATAAGCCCATAATTACCACCCAGCTGAGCTCCTGAAGAGCACAGACACCCTACTTGTGCGTCCATATTCCCTGCGAGTATTATAATATCTGAACTAGTAACAAAGCGAAGTAGCGAGTTCAGTTCGTGAGAGAATATGTCATCGATAGCAGTAGAACTGCAGGCGGTGGGAGCATAAGCGGAAATCGCAAACAGTGTTTTGTGCTAATTCATGAATCAACCTTAGCTGAGGTCGTCAAACGGGGTGCACATAAACGACTGTTCACCGGAATCCAAACAACCGACGATGGCTCAGCCTTGGAGCTTAGAATGATACCTACACCAGCTTGACCCGTGAGTGCTGCATCGGCGTCTCCGGATGACTGCAACCAATAACGAGGGGATAAGCCGGGTGCAGTTAATTCAACAACCGCATTAGGGTCATTGATCCTAGTTTCGGATGCATAACACACATCAATACCCAGTGTGTCCAAAGTGCGTGCGAGTGCAGCCTGTTGACCAATTTGTCTTAGAGTGCGAACGTTGAACGTCGTAAACGGGACAGCGTAGCCTTATAACAGACTGTTGCCGATAGGCGTCCGGTGGGTGCCGCGATAAGGTGCCTGCAGATGTTTCTCCAGTGGCACTTCGGTTGATATCAATTAAGCCAGGAAGTATGGAAGGAAGTTTAGTAATGGGGGTCGGGATGTGAGTAAGAGAAACAGGTGGAAAAGTAAGGAGGCGCCAGGAGTAGCAGGTTTTCGCTTATCCGTCCTGCTGTATGCAGCAGATAAGGCGACCATTGATAATCTGCACGACGGCCGATGGAGGGTGAAGTTTATGTTTGAAGAAGTAGTCATGGTTGTATGTGGGCTGAGATACTGTCAAGGCGCCCAGACCTAGACAGGAAGAGGATTAGGGTCCTCATCCAAAGCCTTTGGCTCAAAAGCCTGTCCGTAAGGCAGCGGGAGGTGGCAATAATTTAGTTTTATTGAAATGGACGCCATTCCATTTCAAAGCCCCAACCTGGAGGACCAGGAGACTGAGTTTGTGTGACCTCAAACCATTGACCAACCTGGTAGGAGTAGCTCTCAAGGGGTCCGAAGGCACCACCCAGTACAGATCAATAGGTCAAGGATATATATATATATATATATATATATATATATATATATATATATATATATATATATATATATAGGATCACAATGTGGTACAGATAGAGGCGTGTGAAAAACTCCCCCGTAGCCTTTAGTTCTTGCCAAAAAATCAATTGCTTTCGAACTCCTATGATAGCTAACTTTGGTAAGCGAGGACTGTGGTAATCTTCGCGTTTATCATTTGGAATTAACCGCTCTCGCTTGTTCTCATATCTTTAATCTCTAGGGATGCAAAAATGTGGGTGAAGTGGTCCAACGCGTTTTGGTGCACGGACTATGGCTGAACAGTGAACAGCAGGTTTCATAAAAAATACCTAACAAACAACGACAGGGAGCAGGACAAAAGAACATAATGGTGGAGTTAGTAGGCCCGAGGGAACATTGGTAACAGGAGGAGCAGATTGTCAGACAAGACGGAAGCAAACTGACAGAGAAAATATTGGAGATACGACGACACAAGTGATAAGACAAAGTAACACAACCAAAACCGGTACAAAGCCAGCAGTGGACTAATGACCGTGGCGGAGCTGTACCCTATTGGGCGCGTCCCCAGGTTGCGGATCGGGGAATGCCTTACTTGTGGAGGTAACCGCGAAAAGTCTCATTTGCCTTGTAGGCGAGATGAATAAGCAGTCGCGAACAATCAACGGCAGTGTCTCACAGCGTGGGGAGTTCTGGGCTGGTCACCTGGTTCTGCATCAAATACCACAAGAGCTCGTACAGCGCTATATCAAAGCCAATGTGACCGGATACAAGGCACTGACCACTCACTTCTGTAACCAGAGGTGAGTATATAACGGAGAGCGGATGAACAACCTTGCTGGCCACCGGCTTCTCTGTGGACTGTTACCGAACATAAAGAAGGCGAAGAAGCCACTTGGATGTCAACGGCCTTCGTTAATTGTCCCGCTGCCTTGCGGGTTAAGTCTTAAGACCAAAGGCTCGGGGTGGGGTCCCTTAAGTCAACCCTGTCCTCGGGCTGGGTAAGCAGGAAGATCTCTGCCCACACAACACAGCCTTCTAAACTTTCCAAATCCTTCCACTGACTACCCATTTCCCCCTTTTTGTTATTGTTAACCATGTGTTGTGGCACTACCAATTGTACATTAGTCAAGTGACCCCGCGGACTCTATTTCGTCGTAACAAAAACAACAGGGCAGAAAAGAAGAATATCACTCATGCTGACCTTCAGAGATGAACGATCTTTCGGGTCCAAGACCAGCATCTTCCTCAACAATGCTTCACATTCGAGGGAAACAGCCCCTCGCGGTATCGTATAATTCAAGCCAATGATCTTCATGCGCAGTTCTCGAAGATCCCGAGCGTCAAAAGGTAGGTGACCCAAAACCAGAGTAAACAAGATGACGCCTAGCGACCAAATGTCCACACCGGGACCGTAGTACGGAATGCCCTGGAAGGAAATTGGAAGTAACAGCTAAGCAGCCTGATTACAGTTGATGAAGAAAACAATGGAATGATTGTTATGGTGCGCAAAATAAAAGGATATTATATCGCGGATAAATGAACATGGGTGCAGCATTTTTGTTGATGTATATTTCAAGTCGTTTACACTATTGCTTAAACAAGATAGTAAGGGTTGGTGGGGGAGGAGGAACCGATAAAAGCCTTGCATATCAGAATTTAAGCGGTAGCGACCACAAACCTAAACACAGAGATAAAGGTTGGGCCAAAACACAGTAACGAGCAATAACACGGTGAGAAAATAGGATGATTAAAACCGCCATACTCAATGGAAGCGGTAGAACAGCGTCCAAACGCGAGTGATCAGAGGCCAAATATAAAAGCAGACGGAGTGAGACCCGAGAAGGATAAGTATGCGATAAAAAATTAGTGAATGACGACGTTCGGTACAGTTAAGCACGTATGATCCGGGCATCAAAATGCGATGGGTCAAGTTGCTACGATTCACATCACCAGAATAACAACGGTAAGAAAATGCGACTGAATGCAAACAGAATACAAATAAAATGGAATCAGGACATATGGTCGTAAATCTAAGAGGGATGAAATGAAGATTAGCGGCTAGACGCAAGAAAGCTAATACAAGTATACCACTAAATGCGCGACTGTGCCACGTCTGATAGGGCTCCCAAACTCCGGTGTGGACCATACCGGGCTCCCATCCACGATGACTGATGGATACCGCCTGACCATTCAGTCAAGTTTTCATGCCCTTATGACTGGCCACCTGGCGTTTCCGACCAACTTGGTGCAGCCACGGCGTATAATGCACTCCAGTGAAGCTGGCAAACGAACATACAAAGGACATGACTTAATGGACGTAAGCGGTTGCGCTTAAACAAACACTCGAGAGAGGCAGGAGGAAACTTCTCGCTAAAAACCAACTGGCGGACGTCAGCATTTCTCTCCCGGTGTTCCCATCAAATGTGAGTAACACTCCGAAGGCACCGGTGGTTAAACAAAACAAAGCGTTTAATGTCTTCACTGGGCACTGTCCACCTCTCTGATACATACAGTAAGACCGGACTTATCGCAGCATTATGCACCCTACCTTTCACTGACAAGCTTATATCCCGCTGTCTCCATAGATGGTTTGAGCCTCAGAAATGCCACACGGGCCTTGCTGATACGCAAAGTAACATGCTGAGTAATGTGACTACCAGAAGTGACAACTACAAAGATAAGCGAACCAATCGACCAATTCCAGTGGCTGTTCGGTGACGGCTAAGACTAGTGGCTTATCGGTCCAGCACAGCAACGATATCATTTACTTTGGAGCTGCAAAGCATATGCCGGAGCGTGCAGTGCTACGCGTCAGTCTATTCACTTGCGCTTGCATAGCCACGGCGTCAGACATACGGTGAGCTATGTCGTCCACATACTCAAGGTTAGTCTGTTGATCACCTGGTAGAACTTCCAATCCGGAAGAGTATGATAGAAGTCATTCATGATCATTTCCATCACAAAGTTGAAGATAAAAGGAGATATAGGACAATTCTGACGAATCCTACTCGGTGTACCAAACTCAGGAGACAGCCATCTGTAGACCCTTACACGGCCCCAGCAGTCACGGTAGAGACCACAGAATGGAAAGGAGTTTTCCAGGTACTCGCTTCGCACACAGAAAGTGCCACAGGCTAGCTCGATCAACAGAATCGAACGCGACTTTCAAGTCAATAGAAAAAAATGTAGTCGACAGTCTGTATGGGTCTCTGCTTTAACACTTGTTAGAGTAAATAAGTGGTCGATGCAATCACGATCAGGGCAGAAACCAGCTTGGCTTTCATTGATTCGGCTACCACGCCAAAAAAGGATACCCGTGAGAACTATGGAGGTGATGAAAATAAGGCTAATACTTCGATTATCTTCGCACAAAGTCCTTTGACCCTTTCTGAAAATGGGTCAGGCAGTTGGCAGCTACCAGTTTGAAAGTGCCTCTTCAGTGTCCCAAATAGTGTTGTATAGAGCAACAAGTCGGCCCAACAAGTTCACCATTTTGTTACAGAGAAGGAAAAAGATCATCAGGTTCAAGGGCTTTGCTTCGTGTCAACGCATAAAGCTCAGTTCGAACAACTTCCACAGTGGGAGGTGTGACATCAACATGATAGGTCGGCTAAGGTAATACAGCTAACTGAAATGTTGTGGTAGGCTGCTGAGTTGAGATCCAAAATGTTCCGCCCAACGGGTTAGTCGAGGCGGCTAACAATGAGTCAGCCGTCTATTTTTCCCAACTATTGTCCTACCAACTGAGAACTTGCTCGGACCCGTGTCCCGGATGAGATTGGGCAGTACTCAGCTGTTCCCTACAGTACTAGTTTTCTCCAGTTTACGGACTTTCACCAATCAATAGCGTTCCGAGTCAATTCGAAGACTTCTTATCAGTCGTCGTGTCAGGGCGTTACGAACAAGTGGAAACTCAATGCTTATTAGAACCTGTTAGCGTGATCCGATCAAACTATTCGATGCCTCAGAGATCCATCCACAGTCCGGACATCTAAAGTTGGGTTTATCACAGGCGTCAAAAGCGTTCTCCGTGACACAACTGAGACGGCTTCAGTCAGCATTCGGCTCACCAACCGCATTCACCACTGACAATTGGTGGACCAGTTCGCTAAGATATTGTTGAACTGCGGTCTGCGAACTTGTTACAAGTGAGAAAATGAAAAGTGACCATTAAGCATGCGCGCATTAGAGCATGGACAGAATTCAGGCATTGACCCCAAATTGATCGGCAGCCAGACTGCTGCGGACCCTCTGGAGCTGATGATAATATGGTCAGTCTGGGTCCAGGTCATGGAGGAATTCGGTTGGCGCCAGGTGAAACGATGTGAACGTTTGTGCTGGAAAGCGGTGCTGCTAATAATAAGATTGTGGTCAGGGCATAGTTGCATGAATAGATCGCCATGGTCTGTTCGGCTTGCATCGAACCCGAGCCGGCTTTCCAGGTGTTGTTTAGTCTGAAAAGTATCAGTATATTTCGCCATACGGAGATAATAGTTGACGGCAGAAATTGTTGTTGATACCATCCGAACTAGTTAGTGAGGGTAAAAACAAAAGCGATTAAAAGGTGACTTGTTTACAGGTGGTGCTTATTAACTTACAGGTTCGAATTTGAACCGCATGCATGTGGCTGTCCACTGGTATCCAATCTAATAGATTGCCTTCAGCATGTTTGCTAGGTGCAACACAAACATTGTAAATACCTTCAGACAATGACTGAGTATTGCCAGCGACGAGAAGATAGTGGTCATTGTCGACAGATCTAGAACCAGGGAGCCAAAGATTCGGCATGACGCTATTACCTTGTACGCCTGCTTCGGAGACAGCACACATCAATACCCACAGTGTGAAGAGTCAGTTATTGCTGCTTGTTGGTCGAGCTGACCTAGAGTGCGGACATAGAACGAACCAGTGTGAAATGAGACCATTGGTTCAATGGACGAGCTATACGTATCAATGGCAGGAGCTGCGAGGTCCGCCGCAGTTTCCTGCTCAATAAATGGGAAAGAAGAGTTGAATGGGGAAACAACAAGAGGGAGTACCGTCGACGGGGTCGAGAGGGCAAATGATACTCTCCGACTGCTTATTGCTAAATAGGGGGTTTTGCTCGAATAGAATAATACGACTATTTTATTCTACGTGCCGTAACTCTAGCCTTAAGCCAAACAGTTTGGCCCACGAAGCAGTGGAGTGCAAGTCCAGCTAGGGAGTGTGATTGCAGACGCCCACCGGGATCTGCCTGAGGTCTGTCATACGCAGACTTCGAAGATTTAGATAGAATCGAATGTCTCTCGATCGTAGGTAGGTATGCATTTGCGACAACGGCCAGATAAGAGTTGGCGGGTTTGTAAAAATTTGACCAGAAGCTGGCTAGTTTGAGGCGGGCGGTAGCAAACCCTTGAGCACTAGGTGGTGCGCTCTCACTACCAGAGAAAATTCGTGGCAATCATGTTCCACGCCAGCTGACCCCAATGGCGTTTGTGTTGTGAGTTTCTTTGTCAATCCCCCTACCATTTGGATTCCCCATGCAATGACGATCTCAAACCAAGTGTACAATGTGGTATTTAACATTATATTACTTTCAAGTTGTTTGTTGCAGTCTGTAATTTTTGGTCTATTTTTGGTATTGCGGCACATTAACTGAGGCGTGTTTCTCATCCCCAGCTGCCGTGCATTGATGATGTTCTCTATGCAAATCGAACTGTGAGCTTATAACTCCCGTAAACCTGTTGTTTCCCATGACTAGGTTTAAAGGGAAGAGGGCTTTTGACCTCACCCTAACTTCCAAAGGTGAGTATGAGACTGAGTTAGTCAGACCCATAAAGGTTGACCTGTCTGGCTCTGAAAGCACTTGTAAAGCCCCACAAAGCGTAGATGCATCAGTCACGGAGGTAGACAAACCATTTCACCACAATAAGTTCCAGTCTCGTAGGTCACCATCAAAGTTCAGCAACAATGGTGGTGTCTTCGCGCAAGGCTTTTGTTCCGTTAAAGCAGCACGAGCTCGTGCCGAATATCGGTGGCAGCTGTATTTATTACGTCAAGTTCTTGGCATGTTCAGGTGGTCCAAACAAAATCTCTAGTGCCCTTAGCAGGCTAAATCGCTCTTCAATGTGCTTAGTCCCGCATACTAATTGATCAGATTGAGAGCGGATTAGTTGTCCTTTTATTCTCATCGACTGTTTCTTTCAAAAGGAACATATTGAATTCATGCGTCGAACAAGCTGGAGCGGTACTTCCGCATTCCCAATGGCGATGGCCATCTCCGTCGCACAGGCGTTCGCTATTCACCGATGTCCCACTCCAACTTGGGACACTTTTCAGGCGATGGTGTAAGGTGCTATCAACGGAGTGAAACTGACACCTCGATGGAACCATCCTCATTGCTTCAATTAAGCTAGTGGAAGCTATAGTTATATATCCCCTACTAGGATGCTTCGAGCTTGGAGGATAAGCGGTCTTGAGTGTTCGCTGCATTGCACATTGGAGTCGACTCCGGTTCACCATCAGACTTCTGCTTATTCGTCAGCAATAGCTGATGTCGCGACTCAGACTGGTATTATTAATTCGTAGATGGCGAACAGTTTACCGACAAGCCCCTTCGAAGTTGAGCAATTCAAAAAGAATGGAAAAGTGAGTCACAGGCGGTCACGCACCATAACGTCGTCAGAAGCGAGATAAATTCTCTAGATATAACGAAAGCGGGAATTAATGAGTGCCAGCCAAAGCTCCCACTTATGGGGCCGTGTACCGTCCGTCGGTAAAGATACAAATTTCTTTCTTTCTTTATAACTTGAGTTCAATGAGTTCTGTCGTTTGGCGGCCGCCATGGGAGCGCATGTGATGGAAAGCAATTTTTGCGTCGATGCAGTTGAATTTTATCGCAACAGAATGGATGAAGTACTTCTCATATCTAGATAAACTATAAATATCTAATAAATAAACGGTCTATTCCATGACGTTGCGAGGCACAGTCCAACAGAGTGGCCTGATGATGCAAGAAAGCGGCGCTGCTGACATGGAGGTTGTGAGAAGCACGCAACTGAATGGGTCAGGACTGTCAGTACTACAAATACCAACCCGAAAATGCTTCCGAGGCCACAATCTGATCCTGACAGGTTACCGCCTCGGGCATTTGCGTCAACCGTAGGCACTTTTGGTCATTCGAATCAGGGAATAGAGTTGCCGAAAGAATGCATCTTTGACAGTCGCCTGATTGCAATCGATGGGAAGATAGAAAGAAATGTCACCTTGCCATCATCCACTGCTTATCAATTCAGAATCGAAGTCGAATGGCATACAAGCTGGGATTCAGTTTACAAGAGCAGTCTCTGCTCGCCTGCTGAGGGACTACAAAGCCGCAAGTGTATACATGGCAGTACTTAGACTTAATTCTTTCAGCGCTGTGGTTGAAAGTGGACAGACAACGGGAGAACGAGAAGAATTATACAGGAAAATGATCATCTCGTTCGATGAATTTGCTTCAGGGCTGGAAGATGGAGAACGAAGGAGACAACGGCTGGCTATGGAAAGGTAAGAAAGAGACCGTTGTTAGGTGATTAAAGGACAAATCCGCATAACTCATGACTGCTGGTTACTTATGGATGTATCAGGGTTCAGATAGCAATCAATGTGTCAAGTAATCCAGAGATACGCAGAGAATAGTTAAATTTGGATTTTTTTAAAGCAGTTGTAGTTAACGGAATGAAAATACTGTAGACCGGAAGAGTCCATGATGAATAAGATTAAGAATCAGACGAGAGTGGATTAGCTGTTGGGTGCAGAGGATCAAAGGGTTTTAGCAACCAAATTTTTTGACTGGCGTCCGCGTGCCGCATCAAGCGTTACCGCATTAGTGATTCAGTTACACAACAAATGATCGAATCACAAAGGATGATAAGCACAAACAACGTCGATAATTTCGGCAAAACTAAGATAGTGGTTGAACGTGCAGTTTCCAGCTTCAAACGTGTTACATGAGCAGACAAAATAGTAAGTATGAGTAATGTGATTACTTAAGAAGCAAAACATAACTCACTAAAAAAAGTTCAGGTGCTGCATACGGGGGACTGCCGCAAAACGTGGTTAGACGCTGATCATATTCAAACATGTTGGCAAGCCCGAAATCCGCCACTTTGACATTCAAATTGCTGTCAAGAAGTATATTTTCGGCTTTGAGATCACGATGAACGATACGTTTTGAATGGCAATATTGAATTGCCGATAAAAGTTGTCTGAACTTTGCACGTGCCTCCTTTTCGCGCATTCTTCCATTCGAAACCAAATAATCAAATATTTCTCCTGCGAGAGGAAGATTACAGTAAAGAGAAGCGAACCTCCACTGGCGTATTCCATGACTAGGCACAAGACGTCTTCGTTCTCTATTATTTCTAGCAGACGAACTGACAGACATAAGTTAGAATAGCATTAAATACCAATATTTGGGTGGTTGGTGAGTTTCATTATAGCTATCTCCCTTTTTAGCTGAAATATGAACAAATGGAACAAGTGGTCTTACGCGTTTCAAAAGTGTACTGTCCATTTTCGTTTTATTTATAATTTTGATGGCAACCTGAAATATATGGGAAAGGATGGTGCGTACCTCGACCCCGGTAGCCATGTGAATGGCAAGTTTCACCTTCGCGAAATTCCCTTTTCCAATGGTACGTATTAACCTGTACTTTCCGGCATGTTTGTTTGATGTGTCTGGGGTCTCTGCTGCGTTAGGCTCAGCAGACGCAGAGGGTAACTCAGGAGGGGCGTTCGCGTTTCCCTCTGAAGATGGCTGGAAAGCAGAGTTGTCATGACAAACGACGTCCTCTGGTTTCGAGTCATCAGGAGTCGACTGTGCATGGGCCACAGGTAACTCAGGTGTAGCCTGTGGTGGGTGTTCAGAGATAAATTGGGAATTCGCGGACTCCGCCGGTGGACTGCGACATTCGGCTGCACAAATAGCAAGACTGCTGGCTTCTACTTCCATTAATTTGGTTCACATCACTAAGATGACCATGTAACGTGAATGCGACTTACTGAGACATTACTGATACTCAAAACATTGTAATCGTGGGGCATGTATGCCATCTGATCTGCTGAGCGAAAAACTGCCTCGCTGATCGCAGCTGTCACCCTAATCACAAGTCATGGTACTAAACAATGAAGTTGTAAAAGTGGGTTGAAAGCAAAGCAACCATTAGAATAGATTCTTTGTCTCTAAACTATAAAGATCATTTTGGTTCAAGGTCATAAAAACGCAACTTGGCGGACCTTTAAAAATGACTGCGACACTGGTAATGGACAATTGTTCTAGCCCGTGAACGTTCGAATGAGCACGGAGAAACAGATAATGTAGCATACGATAATTTCAAGTCGATATTTCACGAATTTCAGCTTAACTGCTAAGGATACATGCTATTTTATAATCTAAATGACCTATATGTTAAACCTTGCCATTGGGATTCATTAGGACATTGAGAGCAGAAGGGATGACCCATGTCAGCTCCATCAGTACCAAATAATTCAAGGTGGGTGTTTGCTGTTGAGACGTCCATCGTTCGGAAACTGTCGTCTTTAATAGCTGCAAGACCCTGTCATGTACATTAGATGAGAGTCTTGCAAGCGCTTGTCTGCGAATCAGTAATGTGTTCCTGCAGGCGGTTCCAGTCATTTACTGCTCGGGCAAATAACGCAGCTTGCGGAGGTGTGCGAAGTGTTCTTGCTTTGAATAATTGCCACTTGTGGCCACGTGTCGAGCGGCCCATATTTAGGTGGTAGAACTGCGGCTGTTCACTTCCTAGCTCTTCCCTGAGGGTGCGCCTGGTGTTGTGATCGATGAGACGGCGGCGCTAGTCCGTGGAGAGCAGCTTCAAAGGCTTACGCCGGAGAGTGCAGGGTAAAGGAATCCTTGTTAGCAAATATACACAAACCTGTGCATTGTTGGTCCATCCAATTCCAATGTGGAGGCTGACTCCGTGCAGTATTTATCTTGAAAATGCGAACACTGCTCGCTAGATGCACGTCACGTTTCACAAGCACGAAGGTATGAGAAAGTAACAAGGTAGTGTTTGACTTGTTATGCTTCTTATGGCGTCGAGGTTCGGCTACTTGATCAAGCAAAATCGGCTCACGATGGATTGCTTAAGTTCTAGCATTGGAATTCGGAACAAAGTATGTGTGCCCAACTAAGAATGTCGGGAAACTCAACTGCTAAAACATCTAATGATCCGTCCGCAAAATTCTTATACATGGCGATGCATATGGCCTATTTTAACTGTTTTTTGTTGCGTCTGCATCACAAAGGCTGCTCCTTGGCTGTACTATTCTGGTTTTGAGGTAGTTCCACCTGGGTTCGTGAAGCCTTTTGCATCCTCTTCGTGGTTATCCTAAAGTACAAAAGCCGATTCTTGGTTGTTCTGTTCCGGTCCCTCGATGAGGCTATTTTGAGTTATTAAGGCTATAGCAACCGCTTTGTAGTCGGTTGACATCGAAAAGCCACACCACGGTTGCCATGTTTCTATCTCTCCATGAGGCCTCCTAGATCCATGGAGACTGTTGCACCCGCGTTGAACTAGCTCGTCATCATATAAGCCGCTCCTTGGCTGTTCTGTTCTGGTCTCTAGACAAATATACCTGGTTTTGTGAAGCGTGTCTCAATCGCTTTGTATTTCGTCTAAAGCAAAAAGCCATTATTTGGGTGTCCTGTTTTGGTTGAAATTGAAGCTACCTAGGGACGAGTTTCGACTTCCGTGTTGACTCTCATGATGTTCCGGGTGTACCTATCCGCGGATAGGCAGCCTGTTAACAGAACGTCCTTTAGCCGCAAAGCACACGGGAGGGGTTGGATGACATACAGGCACACCTACGATGAACGGCTTTACAAGACTAGCTGAGCCCATGATTCCTTTGGAGAATCACCATAAACAGCTGATTACTGAGCTCGGCAGTTTGACTGCTAACATTTCGCCACCACTCGAAGTGACATCAGCAGTGCGCGCCGCTTTGCTAAATAAAGGGGCATTGACGATATCATCTCGAGTTGTGACGAAATGTTTGCAGTCAAACTGCCGAAGTCAGAGAGCACCCAGATCACTAACTGAACAACCTGAGCTACCGACAGTTGCTTCTATATCGCAACTGATTAGATTGGATATGCATGTAATACCTTTTAACGTGCATTTGTCAACCTTCATTTTGTTGTTTAGTTATGCCAGTCCTGGCATACTTTGAAAGGTGCCCAATCCAGTTTCTGGTGTACGGGAGCCACGTATTAATGAGGTTAAATATGGCGGTCCTGGCAGAAGATCTAGCTTGCAGATAATCGGTCATGTCATATAATGCCCTCTGGTAACTAACAATGACCTTGGTGGGCTGATGGTTTCCTCAACAAGCATCAATGGAACGATGGAACAATTGTTTAATGCGGGTAAAAATACCGATGCTTAACAAGTACCGTGCGATGTTTATAGTGGTACTAAAAATATAAAATTTTAGCATAATTGGGTTTACACAGGAGAAGGTACTGTGGTTTACTTAGTACAGGCTGTAAATCCAAGATTAATCCATAAGAAATGACGGCAAATGGAAAGTTGGTAAAAGCGCTTCTCCATCTGGTCTACATATACACGAAGCGGAAGACGTCGGAGCTACATAAGCGCACGGTCACCTTGGACGTTGAACACCGCCAGCGTGGAAGAACATAAAACCGATTCCGGTAGGGTACTCCATTTTCGGCAAACACTTAAGGAAACGCAATTCCGACGACATTCCGTGTGACTATGCTGCTCTGCCAGTTTGCGACAGTGGCCTCTCAAATTGCTGTTGTGACTGAGCTATAGTAAGTGGCGGCATGTGTGGTTGGGATCTCGCGACATCCGGCTATTCAAAATGAGGTCCCCGCACAATCGCCAATGCTGTAAGCTGAAGATCCCGGGCACTGGTAGCCTATGTTTATCAGGCAACTGATGCAGACCATTAACATCCTCGGTTGTCCGACGGTGGGTTATCGCTGAGGTAATGAGATCTCCCCTCAGCCATGGCTGCCAGACGTGTAGTACGTTTTCCACTTGCTACCATATGTATGTGCAGTAAAGTTGTGGAAAAGCGAAGGGTCAACGCATCCGCGTGCACAACTCAGGAAGCCCACGGGTTGGATACTCCTCCAAGAACCGGTTCTGCCGACTTTGTACATCCAAGGTCAACCTAAACAAAAATACCACGCCAATTCTCGCCAGAGGACGTTTGAAGCTCCTTGTTGTCGAGTTTGGAGGAGTGCACCGAATTGTTTCGTAGGTGCAGTAGGCTACATTTTCCACAATGAATCGCGGTAGTATCTGAACTGCACACTGGTGTACCCCATCGAGCTCAACCAGAGGTACTAATAAATAAATAAATGGATATTTGTTTTGTCTTCCGCAGTGCGGGACACGCCTGCGAAAGTATGAACTTAAAATAAAAATGGTATGGTTGGTAAATGTACAGAAATATAGCAACATAACCAGTAACATGCCGGAATGCTTTGGCGGTATTTATGTAAATATACGTGGTAGAGATATAAAATGACCTATAATGATTAAGTACTGACTTGGTGCAAAGCGGTGTCCCTATTGAACATGGCTAGGACGGATGAGCCACAGGCAACCTAATTTTATTAGATTTAGTTAACTCGGTTGTATTTCGGGATGACTCCATATGTTGCCCATTACAATAATGGACTTAGCATGACTTATGATATGCTATTCTATCTAAATAAATAAATAAATTTTTTATTTTTTTATTTCTTTATTTAGACTGTACGTGTAGAGGGCAACAGTTAAGTGCGTACTAGTTCACAGTACCAGTAGTTTAGTTATAATTCTACCTATCAGTTGCTTCCCTATTGCTATATCTGGTTCCTTGAAATATGGATGTCCAAGCTTTAAGGCTGTCACGTCTAAATGTTGAAGAAAACATCAACAGTTCCTATTGGGTACTTATTGTCATGCCTGCGAAAGCGGTTGTTAGCCTGACCTCCAGACGAAACCCATACACGTTTGTCGTACCATTGAGGCTGATGTCTTATATTTCTCTAGTCAGTTTGTGACAGCACACAATTAACTTTGGATAAACGCATGTGCATATGTTGCATTCGAACTGCCATTGGACACGGATGACGCCTATCGATGTATATATGTATACCGAATGTATTGGACGTGGATACTCATACGGCTTTTGTACGGCTAACTTAGTGCAGGGAAACAGCACTAGAGCAAATCGCACCTAACGTTACCAGAACGTGAAAAGGTGAGTTTATGACAAACTCATGTTGATTTCAGGTGTTTCGAATCCAAGGCAATTTTGATCCATGCGAACTCCGTAGGCTGTTCATAAGGGCTGTCGGTCAGGTGCAGGAGAAGATCCTATTGCACGCGAAATAGAAGCAAGATGCGTACGCTCCCATTCGATTTACTAATCCAGACCAATAAGGCGGCGTATGTGGTACATTTGCTTGCGTGCTGCGTAACCTTTCATTTCAGAAGCAGATGTTGTTTGACCTCCCCGGTGTGGATGCGCTTGATATGAATTTTGACTAGGTGTCTACCTGTCTATTACCACTACCTCGTCCATACTGGCTCCAGGAGACAGTTTTTCGTCGCTGGAGGGAAAGGAGTGCACCGTCCTCGTGACGGTGCTGGACTCAAAGAGTGGTTACATCCCGTGTGGAACGGGCTACGCTCCAGCCACCGCCATGCGTTTCTCGTGTGCATGCTTTCCCGATTAGGCCGGAATGCTTCTGTTCTGCTTGTTGAAGTAGTGTAGGCCGGCTCCATTGATGAAACGTGGCTCCCACCCACATGCCTCCCCGCCTTATTCCTTCAGGTTTACACCGGATATGAGGTGCGTGGATGGAACTGTGGGTGGTGCAGCGCAGGCTACCAATGATCCCCTTTGCAGACGCAGGCGTCCTGGGACTGTCCCCATGGAGACCACATTGATACGCAAATCCGGGTACTTAGGCCGCCCAGTCATCCTACAGATTTGGGCGTGTTATATGGACTTGTGCTTTGTTACGGAATTCGTGTGTTTAACATCAGATGTATTGGGCGCCTTCACCACCTTGTGGTCATGGGCCCATTGCAGGCAGTTCGAGCTTATTATACATGTGACACGGTGCACATATACGTAAAAGCAAATCTGGGTCCTAGTACCGGTCCTTGTGGCACTTCGCATTCAACTCGTTTGGAAGCCGTTAGCGATTCATACACAAGTACTTTCATT